GTTTGGATATCTCAGCATTACAAAGCAGTCATTTATGTGGCTGCAGTGTAGAGATGCCTTTAGGTTTATGAATGCTTTGTGAGGGTGGAGCAGAGCAGAAGCTAGAGTCTCTGGCCAACTACAAGTCTGCTTGTCATATATCTCATTGTTATTGCTTGGTTTATATGTTTTTGAAATAGTGTCTGGGCTATCACATTGTTGTTATCTGTGTTAATACTTTGTGGCTTGATTCTGAAACATCTAGCAGCTGAAACTCCAGGTCTAGCCATAATTTCCAGTGTAACATTTAATCATTTGAGCAGTCAGCGGGGATGGAAGATTTTAGACTTTGGAAGCCTTTCATGTCAGAAATATCATCTAATTGTTTCAGAAAAGATGATATACGTTGTTTGAAGAATTCAAGACCATAGAAAAGCCTTAGACAAAAAAAAAATAGTATTATTATTTGTATTTAGAAAAGCAAAACCCACACCACCTGTGGGGAAAAAAAGGAAAATTGGTGTTTTAGGAATCTGACTGGCAGTCTTCGTTACAGTGGAGAGAATTTCTTCTCTGGATTAAAATAAAAAATAATGTCAGAGATATAGAGAGTGGAGCTGTTTGGGACTGTATTTCGTTTTACACGGGTTAAAACCCTTTAGCAGTGCAATTTCAGTTTTACTACCTCGGTATCGAGGCCGGCTGAAATTGGGGTCCAATTCCTCAGCTTTACTGAGGTTTGAATAAATGATCCCACTCTTTTTCAGTCTCAGGTTCAAAATGAGATAGAATGTATTCTGGTTTTGGAAAATCCAAATCAAGATTGATTTAATTCTCAAAATTGAGTACGTGATAGGGTGTCAGATAATTAGGGCCTTTTTCAACTTTTTTTTGATACCCATTAGGTATATTTTCCACCTTTAGTGATTGCTGTGTTCAGCTAATCTGTCAATTTAACCAAAGCAACAATTTCACAATGTAGTTTTCTTTCTGATTGTGTGCTGTGTAATCAATATACTGATATAATGTGAGTGTAATTTCCTCTCTTATTTTATCTCCACTGCACAGTATTATAAATAAACAGCTAAAAAAGAAAAAAGAAAGAAAAGCACCAAACAAATCTGTTGCATCTTCTTTTAAGATTGTACCACTGTAGACACTTGTTCTAGTAAAGTAGAATTGGACCCACTTGATTGCATTTAAATTTTTCATGCTTCAGCAGTTTGTCTGGGAGCACAGTAAAGAAAACCCCCCGAGCGAGGATAGTTTAGAATAATAGAACTTGATTTTGTGTATTATAGCGGCACCATTTGCGCTGCTGTAGTTAGGGTTGTGTCAGCACTTCCATTATAAACCCCTGTTTGCAGGGGTTATAACTAGGGAGATATTTTTTAATCAGAAACTTTTTTTTAAAAATGATTTGAGTGAATTTAATTGATAATAGAAGAAAAAAAATTAATGGAAATTCGTAAATTTCTGATACCTTTTACAAGCCTTATTTATTATGAATATTGATATTTTTTTAATTTTTTTTTCTCGCCAGTGATAGTAACAAATGCATTTTGAATATTTCAAATGTAAAATTGGGAAGTTGTTAGGGCTTAAAATTTGACTGCTATTCATACTCATATTTTAACATTAAAACATTTTAACACAACAACCTGTTCTATGGTTTAATGTTATCATAAACGTAAACTGCTCAAATGGGCCAGATTCTTCTCCCTTTTAATTTGATGAGACCTTGGAGTTATTGGCTGAACTCTGCCTTTGGACCTGATGGAGTTTTGTATACAGAATTCTCCCATTTAAGTAAAAACAAACAGAGAATGAGAAAAAACTTGCATGGAGTAATTGACTGGGTAACACCCAGTTGCAGAGTTTATTTTTACTCTGTTTTACTGATTATAAACCCAGGCACAATCAATATTTGGTGCATAACCTGGCACCCTCAGAAGACATGCACACATGAGATATATTGATTGAGTTAATGATTGCGCTGGGAAAGGAAGGTGGAGGGCTTAATCTGGCAGGGTCCTACGTCGCTGTCCCTTTTACCCCAATGTTTAAAATCTAGTAACCAAAAACTGGAAAAGTACCGTTAGGTGCTGACCTCAGACCATAATTTATCTGCTAAATCTTACTGTTTTAACAAAGGTTTGGGGGAAAATAGAAGCAAAGCACACCCCTAAAAATTATGTTATGAGGAGGGCAAGTGCCTGGGAGGCCTGCCTGAGCTTATCTTTCCTTTCAGGCTCCAGGACTTTAGGTAACTGAGTAAAGTGCAGTATGAAATGTGTCTGACCAAAATGCAGCAGTGGAAAAAAGGGGTAGGTGGAGCTAGAAAGCATTTGTACCCTGCTCTTGGTCCATTCTCTTAGCCTGATGTAGAAAAAAGTTGCTGGGCATGGCTTGAGATTATTAGTGAATGCAACCTTGTTAATCTAATTTTATTTTTAAAGTTAACAGTCCCCCCTTTTCTCTGTGTAATCAACTTAAACAACAGAATATGAATAGGGATTTTTATTTAATTGTGTTTAAAACATCATGAATAAGAGGAAAGTATATTAGTGTATATGGCAAAGCAAAAGTGTTTCCTCTATAGATAGCTTTACTGAATGGTCACTTGAGGAAATACCAAAAGCCTGTTTATGAAATAGAGGTGAAGCCTTTCTAGACTAATTATATTCAGCATGTAATTTCTAAACTTCAGTCTGAATTTTGATTTTCAATTAACATTCCCAATTTGAAGATAATTTTCTATTTAATGTAATTGCAGGAAATAATTTATTGGCTGATTAAGACTGAGGGCCCAGCCTTCCTTAAGAAAACAGTCCCTAACAAACCAGCCTTTAAAGCCAACTCATAGCTTTGGACAGATTCAGCCTATTTTTGCAGCTGCAGAGTTGTGTTTAATTAGGATTGTGCACTATTATTCATTGGTGCAGTTTGTAGTTGAAATTATTCTTAAGAGACATTTTCATTTCTAGTTTTGTGTCATGATTAATTTATGGTGAAGAAACAGCCATAGCTATTGCTTTTCACAGAAGCTTGTTCAGTTTGAAACAGGAATGAGATCTGTTGAGAATGTGAAAGAAAGGAAAATCCTTTATTGTGACTTTCAGTTTTCACGTCTGGTGTTCAAATTGCATAGAGCATTGACTTATATTTTCATGTGAATGATTACATTAACATGAGTATTTTAATGAGAAAAGGGAAAGTAAACCTTTTATTTTATTTTGGATCATAGTAATTATGAACCAGAACCTTTTGAAGTACGTATAATAATGCCGGTTGCTGAACTCTTGGCATGTTCTCTGTAGCATCAACGCAAATTCTTCAGCATAGTAAGAATGTAATACACGGTTTGAATTCCTTGGTTCTGCTTATAGGCAACATTAATATTAGACTCCCACTCACACTTAGGCTCCCCTAAAGAAATCGCAAACCTTTTTTCTTTTTTTCTTTTTTTTTTTTTTTTTTTTTTCCCCCGCCAGTATCGTGTTTAAGATGCAGGATTATCTCTATTTACAGAATAGTTATTCTAAATAGGTATCAGTGTTTTAATATGTTTCAAAGCACTTCAAAGCTTGTAATACTTTCATATAGAACTGTACATAATTAGATTAGTTGATCCTATATTAATTTTTTTCACTGTAGGATACTAAATCTGAACTCCCTCATTAATTGTGAGAAATTTAGCATTAGCTGTTAAATCCTATGTGAAACACAGGCTGCTACATAAAAACTACTGTTTAAATTGGAATTAACTTAATTATTTTTCTTTGCACTTGATATTTCCTTCACTGTAATATTCATGAAAGCATGTGACAGATTTGTAAATTTAACTGTTAGTCTCAGATTTCCAGACCCTTTAATCAGTATTTATTTGTCTGTAGAAACAGTACTAGCAAGTTAATGATTTGCTAATTTGAAAAATGCTCATGTGGTTTCCTATGTTAACTGATTTGTGCATTTTTAAAGAAATGGTATGAAATCAATTATTGTTAAAAAGCAATTAAGGTGAAGATCTTATTCCTTAGTTTCTCAGCAATTTCAATGTCAAGGCTATTCTAAAGTTACTAAAACCTGGGAAAATAGCTAATATGTTTTAGCTGTCTTCTTTCAGGTTTATTAATGATTGTTTTAACAGTTGCAGTTAATCTTATTAGAAATTTTAAACAAAGTGTTTTCAGAATTTGAGTTGAAGTCAGTTATATTTTCATCTAAGTGTAGAAACTGTGGTGAAAGCTGTGTTTGCATATGAGATGGTAGTAAGAGGCCATTATTGGGAAAAGACATTTAACATAAATCAATGCATTTATTCATTACACTTTTAAGTAATTTAAAGTAATTTGTTGAGCTATATCCTGTACTTGATGCCTAATATGAAATGAAACACAATTATTTTAGGTTTTTAGTTCAAACTGTAGAAGATTACTCAGATATTATTCACCCATTCAATAAACTGTTCAGTTTTAAAACACTTTTCACATGAATGTTTCAAAACAGTTTCCAAAAGGTAAAAATGGGTAAAATTTTTAAACAGGTTAACAGTAAAAGTACTTAGCAGAGTTTAAAATGGATTTTAAAATTCTCATCTACGTAGAAAGTATATGCTTGCAAGGAGTGAGGTTAGGAAAGCATGGTGGACTCTCTAGTTTAAATGTTCACTTCAGATTGCTTATAGGAGTAAGAGTTTAAAGACTTGAATTCTTATGCAAAATCAACGTTAAAATCAACAATGAAATCACTGCTTGCTTATGGCTGGATAAAATTATATTATTTCACAAGTCTAAACATATAAAATGACATCATATAACTTAACTCTGACCTTGACTTGACATCAATGAATATTTTATCTCAGGATCTTGGATCCAGATCCCCCAAACCCATACTTTTTAAAGTATTTTTGTTGACTGCATATGATCAATTTTTAACTGTTGTAGACAAGTGTGGTGTGTTTACAGGACGGTTTTGAGCTTAATTTTTTTCTTTTGACACCAATGTTTTCCTTTGTCTGCTTTTCTTGTTTTGTAGAAGAATGTCTTCCAAGCAGGCTACCTCTCCATTTGCATGTGCAGCTGATGGAGAGGAAACAATGACCCAGGACTTAGCATCACGAGACAAGGAAGAGGGCAACTGTGATCAGCATGCGACCTCTCATCTGCCTCTACATAATGTAATGCACAACAAACCTCATTCTGAGGAGCTACCAACTCTGGTCACGACCATCCAACAAGATCCTGAGTGGGATGGAGTCATCTCAGCCCAGCACAGAATGGTGAGTTTTGCAGTTCTCATAGTGGATTTATAAACTAGTATAGTAAAAGACCGTTCACCTCGATTTTGAAAGCCATGTTCAGTACAATCCTTCATGAGTGTAAAGCTTTTTAAATGTTAAAATGTCAGTGTTAGCAATAGATCAACATCAATATGGTGTAATTGTAAATTACAATTGTATAATCTCCTTAAGTATACAGGTCTATATGAATGAGGTCATTTGATGAGTTCACCTTCGGAAAGGAAATGCATCTATTTATCATGTTTTCATTCATACCTTGATTTATGTCATAACCTCTCTAGCTCATATATTCAAGCATTAATTTCTGACAGGAGGATGTAGCTCACAACTGTTTGTCATCTGCAAAGCGTTGTGCTGAAGAAAGAAACTTTAATGTATTTTTTTTACTTGTCTCTCAGAAATACAACCCACCAAATGTAGAATATTATAGCCTTAGTCTACAACAAAGAAGCTGGCATTTTAGGTGACACAAACATCGTGCTGTATTTATAGGAAATTACAACTTTTTGTGGAGGGGAAAAGGTGTTTATGAGTAACTGTCATGCTCTTCTCTAGATCACCAGTTTGTATATAGGTGATGTTGGCATGATCAGAATTATTATCTGCATTCTCTTCAGTAACCTGGATAAAATAATTTTGCAGTTATAATTCTGTCTGAACATCCCCAAAACTCTGCAATAAATGGGCTGACTGAGTGAAGACTGAATGGGCGTAGCATCTCAGTCAATTTCTTTTCCTTGCATGTGTTCCTCAGGAACAGAATTAAGGTTTGTGAAGCAGCCAGGTGTTCTGTAAATTTAGAACATCATAATTCCAGACGCTCCATAAAGTGACTCTCACAGACATTAAATTCACACAGTTAGTTTAAAAAGAATACCCTGCCTTTTCGTAAAACTTCTTCTGTATTTTTATTAAATGTCTGAGTGGATTTTTTTCAGCAAGTCTTTATTTTTTTTTTTTTTTCAGTACGAATCAGCAGCTTTCAATAAGGTTAAAAAACAATTGCAGAATTTTTTGACAGCACTAAAAATAATGAACTTATTTCAAATTTGACTAGAAATAATAATTCTAATGCATTAATCAACATAGATACTGGAATTCTTCATGCATGTGATGTTGGAATTAACTAGATAATAGCACTACAATATATCTATTTTATTAATACAGTGGAGTGTTTTTCTTTTGAAAATCCAATTGATTCAAAAGATCAAACCGAACCGCGAAAATGCTGCCTAATCTGTAATGCACAATTTAACCCAGTGCAGAACTTTGTCAGGCCTAAAATATTCCTAAGTAATTGGGTGGCTGTCACGAAGAAGGCAAAACTTCAACTGCAAAAATGGCTTCAAAGAAAAATGATTATAGGTTAGTAATTTGGCAAGGTAGCTTATAAGCTGTATACATGGCTTCTGTTCAGAATTCTCAGATAGAACCTCATTTTGGATGGAGAGTCACTCTTTTGCCCAAGTCCTGTGATACGCACATCAGAATAATTTTCTATGTTGTTAGGAGGACAAGCTGGATGCTGACTAGAAAGGACTGATCAAGTTTGCTGATGGAAAAAATTAATTGTGAATTCATCATCTGCTTTCCTATTTTTTGAGAGAGGCATGTGCACTCTGGGAATTTTGGTCTTAGGACACCAATAACGTTGATAAAATGACTCTGTGTCCCAGAGAGAAAGGAACTCCTAGACTCTAGGAGTCCCTCAAAGCATTTTTTTTGGTTTAGGCTGTTCCTTGGACCTCTGAAGCATGTTTACCCTTAGAGCACCAGAGTGCAATCTCTGTTTTCTTTCTTAATGCTGCACTGTCATGTCAATGCTTGGACGTGGCATGAATCGATACCCAGCTTATCATGTTTCAGAACAGGTGCATAAACTTTGCTTGAGTGACTTAGCACTCTGGTTTTCCTCTCTCCTTTTTTCAGTAATTTTTCCATCATGTATGTAGATGAATGTCCTGAAAATCATTAGGAGTTTCCACAGTTCCCTTGGGTTAAATCTAGTGGTGAATGTATGTCATCTTTTTTTAGGTAGCTCTCTGCTAAACCAAACAGATTTTTTTGCCCGGCTCAAATCTGGGCATAGTTTACAAGGCTTGGCTAGAAGTGAAAACTGAAGTTGTAAGGCATGCTGTTTGGTTGAACTTGAGAGACCTAAAATGTACAGACCAAGGTCCCAGTATGTTTACAGTTTAGCTGAATTAGATGCCTAGTTAGATCACAACAGTGAAGTGGTGAAAATTTTTTTTTTCTCCTTGAGAGACTATCATTTAGGGTAACTGGTTTGATTTTTTTTTTTTTTTCCCCCTCTCTTATTTATGTCCTTCATGAGCAAACCTTTAAGCCTCAGTTAATTGCATAAAGTTTCTCTGAAACATGTTGGTCTCCAAGCAGGCATCAATATTGCTAAGAAAGAATTCAGAGGCACCTCCAGTTTTCCCATTGAAGGCAATTTTGTACTCCTTAAAGGGAGGATAGGAGTTTGTTTCCAGAAAGACAAATTCCAAAGGTGGGTTGGGCAATTTTAAGATAGGTGCTGTGGTAGTGACCACTTTTCTACTTAATAATACCAAATTCCCAGAAGGTAAGTGCTTTCTGACCTTTCCCAGATGGATCCTTTCAAAGCAGATTTGAAGAAGCACCTGCTTATACCATTTACACTGAAATTAAAGACAGTAGTGCTGTCATTAAAATGCACTGATAATGTGTGTTGTCTGGTTATGAGATAGTAAATTCAAAGAATGCTGTGTGGTCATACGGGGAGGAAAAAATTTCTCTTTTACGTGGTATCTAATTAAGGGCACAATCCTGCATCCTTTGTGCTCTTAAAACTACTAAGATGTTCACTGGAATTTGTGAAAGCACACAGTGTGCATCATAACAAGCTATAAGGGCTGTGCAGATCTTAAGTGAAGATACTGTAGTAGGGAATTTGACAGAAAAAAAAGATTGAGGTTTTTCCCAACATTTATGGTATGCAGCACTTTCTGTAATATAAGATACCTTTAAACTACATTCTGTATTATCATAAAAAAAACACACTGGCTAGAAATGTTTTCAAACTTTCACTCCCTTTTGATATCAAGCATTGCTTTCCACTGAGTCCTTTGTGTATTCTGAATGTCTGGAAGCCAAAATATTTTGTTTTAACTCCCACTCTATAGTATTTCCCAGCTGTGTACTTATATGGTGTAATAAAAAGATTTAACAAATGGGAAATAGCAGCTGCATTTGGAAATTCCCTTTGTGCTCCCTTTTCATTTGACAGATTCAGCAATGTGTAACAACTGTAACGTCAGACCTGTAATGACTTACACTGTGAGTATCGTATCACCAGCCAATTTGATGTTACAGTGGGGAGAAAATAAAACAACCAAAAGATATCTGTAATTTCATATTGCTGATCTGAAAAGATGATATGTATATTTCTAACTGTAACTTAATATGAAAATACCTGGACATATGGGTATTTATTGCGGCCTGTACTTCTACTAGAAAATAAAATCTACTTTAGGCTAAGGACATATCTGTTTGCTGCGGGAAACTGTAGGGAATAGGGCAAAGTGGTACTAAGATAATGAGGAAAGTATCCTGCTTTCTGCCATGGACAGTGAGTAGCAGGCAAGAAATACGGTAAAATTTTCAGACTGGATCCAAAACGAGGCTCTCTTGGGGCAACAGACTGAGAGAGGATAAGGGGGGAAAGCCAACAATGCTCACTTTTGCTAAATTTAGTGCTAACTGAATTTTTGTATCCTAATAATATTTTTAATAGTAAATATGTGAAGAAATTGGAATAATAATTTGTGCTTTGTTCACTGGGGAACCAGCAATCATCCCCATATTCATATAGAGCCCCACACAGCTTGTGAAGGAAATTACAAAGGCTTTTTTTTTTTGCCCTGAATTATCAGGAGGAAGTGATGCCAACAACAAGATAAGAAATTAGGTGGACAAGTGGCCTGATCTTCTTTGGGGAATGGAATGGTTTATTCCCATGGTTGTACGGGCTAGACGTGGGCCTCACGAACAATAAATTTGAGCAGCTTTAACCTAATGAAATCTGGAATCTTTCTCCAAATTGCTGAATTCCACACCCCCCCCACCCCAACAGTAAAAAGAAGAGAGAGGCAAATTCTGTTCCCACCTCCAGTCCCAATATAACAATCTGGTAACAGGCAGCTTTTGTGAAGAACTCGCAGGCGCTGTGCCGCTCTCTGTATGTGACGATGTGTCATTGTGGTGGTCACTGTACTCTCTTCTTTTCCCACTGATTTTCCTCCCCTGCCCACTGCCATAGGGGTTATATAGACGGAGTGTGCATGCACAGAATGGAGGTGTCCACATCTTTTCGCTCTACTGTTCCTTGGAATGATGCAGTGAGAGACTGTTACAGCGAACACCAGCAGCAAGTCAAGTCTAAATTGTTATTTCCTTGTGACTGAGGAAAGCCAAACACACATACATACAGAAATACAAGTTAATTACCTCCAAATATATGCTATATGTACATTTTATAACATCATTTGGAGACCCCTTGATTTAGAAATGAAATGTATCTCGTTGTATTTTATCTCAAATGGCAACATCGACATATATTTTATAATTATGTCAGGTCTCTGTCTTTTGTTGACGTCTTGCCAAAAGAGTGAAAGGCTTGCTACCTTTCCACTGTGTTTGCATGTACGTCTCAGCAGTACTGATAGCAATTTGTATATGCAGTGGAAAAGTGAAGATCTCTTAATGCCACATGTATTTTTTCCTTTTAAAATAATTTCAAATCGCCAAGTATCAAATTTAACTTTATAAAGCTTTAGCAAAATTACTGGCATCAGAAAGGCAGAAGTAGATGGTATCCTGAATGTCTTCATGTTTCAGTGATTACTGTCTCTACATAAAACAAGCACAGTCCTGTAACTCCCCCCTTTCCTTGTTATTAACTTCTCTTGTTGAAAGCGCTTCCCTTTAAGGAAAAT